ATGTTGCATAGACAAACATACAGCATAACAAAGTCTATATATATACCTCTTGCCCTGATACTGATATGTAGTCCACAGAGGAGGAATTTAGCATTCTTCGTACATCCTGAATATGATTCTTGATTTGAGAGAGTACTGTCTGAATCTCACCCCTTCTCTTTCTTATTAAAGGAAAATCATCGAGATCCTTGAATAATTCAGTTTTGTCCCCAATTCTAAAAGAAAATTCAAATAAACTTTTAATTCAATATCATAGGTGTTTGTTTAACCCTAACAAAATGATCAAATACAAACAAATAATAATATGAATATGATCTAGGAGACTATAATTTAATTGTAGAAAGAAAATTATAAGAATCAGGAAAAAAAAATCTTTAAAAGAACTTCTGCAGTTAGTTTAACTGCTTATGTGTAAGGGGGGGAGGGGGAGAAAGAGAGAGACAAACTAAAGAGAAAAGAAAAAATTCTGTCTGATTTTCAGATATTATTGTCAAAGATCATAATTCTACACAATAGTTGATCTTAGGCAAAGTCTAAGAAGTGAACTTGCCAGAATCGTGCACTGGCTGGAGAAGTAGTATGAGACACACGTCCCTTCTTTTTTGGAAATGCCAAAAAAGAAGTGGTGCACCCAAGATGGACCACATCTAAACTCTAACCAGATATGGAAAATCTGGCACATCAGTTCAAAATTGGGTTAGGCTGAGATAGTCTTACAGAATTTAATGGGAATTAACTATGGGAAAAATTAATGTAGCATATTACTTAATAATATTTTTAATAAAAAGTATCTATTGTCTATGTTAGATCATGTCTATGTATGAATGAATTGCATTACAAACAATGGTGAAGATAACCAAACTTTTGTTACAATCACTACTTGGTTAAAAAAGATAGTCACTGCATCATACCTACATAGTAACAAATTATATGCTTATTTTACTTACTTTGCTGCTTCTTCATTAAGTTTACTTAAATATTTTTTTGTTGAGCTAAGCAATTCAGGAATTTCCAAAAGGCTTTTATGCAGCAAGGATGCCCGTACTTGAACTTGTATAGCTGGAACCAGTGCTTTGACTGCTGTTTCCAAGTTAGAGAGTGTGTTTACTACTAAGTAGAATTCTTGAACAGAACACTGAAAATATAAACAAATATCGATTAAAATTATTGGTCTTGAGGTTACGTCTTGCAAAACTAACAAATGAAGTTCTTTAAGATGGCAAAAAAGTATGTTGTATCAGTTCTAATACTCTTATTACATAAACAAAGTTTGTTTTATTCTCTCCTTAATTTTGGACATACACTGAAATATATGCCTCCTGGTTTCAATTGTTATGGTAGGAAAAGAATTGACTTTGTTATTAAATATTTGAAACTGAAGTAATTTTTTAAAAAATAAGTTGTAATGTTAAATACCAATACATAGCTTAAAAATAGTTAATGAATTTTAAGAAGCTAGCATACCAGGAGTATAAGAATCACGAACAGTTTTAAGAGTTTAAAAGTGCCATTGTTAAAAGCTTAGATATTTCCAATTATTTTCTGCCTTACAATGTATAAAACACATTTCAGGAAAGTTGCCTGCATTTAAATATAATAGCAATGTGTTTTTTTTTAAATTATCTGTAGTCTTACCTTTTTATGATAAATGCTACAGATTCCTCTCTCAACATCTGGAACCTTATGCAATAGAGACATGATTTGACCAAGAACACTTGATTCTGAGAAGAGAATCTCAGACACTGCATCAAGTCGGGAATTAATTTCACTGTAAAATAGAGGATAAATTAGATAAATAAAATCTCACTTCTTTTCTGCATTTTAAATAATCACTCCAAACAGGAATAATAATCTATGGATATATAATAACATGCCTGGAAGAAACAGTTTATCTTATTTTGATGCTAAAAAGATAATACAAAATTAATCAAACTACCTCTGCAAGAAATACCGTAAATGAAACGTCGCAGTTCTCTCTGTGTCCAAGATGCACTTTGATCTGACCACTTAGTCTTGTATATCACAAACCTCCTCAAAATCATTAAGTGTTTGCTGTTATTACCAAACAAGCACGCTTTGAATTTTTTGCTAGGAAAAAACTGCAAACCAAGAGGCTCCCAAGGAGAGGAAGCAAACCTGCTTTGTTTCTATCGCTGTTGGTAGCAACTAGGTTGGTTCTCAACTCTGTTATTCATTTTCTTTTCCCAACCAAAATATTTCAAAATTTGTCACTTTACACATTAATGGAAAAATTCTACTGACATCTACTAAAAATCTCTTCTTCCCATGCCTCAATCTTGTCTCATTATTTCTATTTGTGAAGAGAAATATGGTTTCTCAAAGGGTTAAGTCTACATTAAGAGGTTTGTGGCTCCTATTACTTCTGCTGTCACCACCTTCAACCTCATAGCTGCCTGTACCAGTCAGCTAATTAGCACAAACACTAAAAGTTGTTTCCTTAACTTGGCTGGGAGATGAACCTATCTCTATCCAAATTTACAATTTGTAAATCAACTTGGTTTCATAAAAGTAATTATTGTTCATTTTTATCAGTAATTCATTATATACAGTAGTTATTGGCAGAAACATGCAGATTTCATTATGTAATTTACAATATAGTCCAGTCTGAATTAAGAGTGTGATAACATATTATGACAGAGTCTAAAGGCTCTGATCCTTTGCTGTAAGGTTAATCTGCACTTTAATCATTTTCACATATGGCTATGATACAGAGTTCCAATAATCTAACACCAACATGGCAAACACTGTGCCCCCACTAATCCTCAGTATTAAAAAGAGAGAGTAAGAAAAAAAGGGTCAATAGGCACAATCTGATATCAAGTGACCTATTTTTCTATCTCTCACAGAATCATGTTTTGAAATACTGTCCCAAGAATTATGCACTATAAAATCATAGAGGATTATCTTCAGCTTACTTAACAGAAAAAACATACCAATATAAAAGGCAGTTTTAAATGCTTTTTACTTCAGTTCTATGGTAGTTCTATGGCAAATAGATTATCATAGATATTATCAGACATTAGCAATTCAAAATACATTATTTTTGTTTTATTTGGCATTATATTATACTGTTATAATTTATGTTTTAAAAAAATGCATTTAATATAAAATTGAATTATATAGAATTGTGATATTTAGTTTAAATTATCTATGCATTTCTTTATTCAACTGAATGCAATATTAACCTGATTTCAAACTGTACACAGTGACAAAGTAAGACTAGGTACAAAAATATTAAATAACCACTGAATACAACAAATGCTATTAAAAATACATTTGTTAATAGTATTTTGTAAGTATTGATCTATGCAGAGATTTAAGAATAGTCAAATCAAGTTCTACATTTTTATGACAGACATAACAATTGGGGAATAAAATTGTTACTAAAAAGCTGAGCATGGTACTTCTCGGTGAAGGATTCAAACATTGCTAACAAAGGATAAGGAATGTCTGTAAATGATGACAGAAGTCTACAGTTTTTGTAAAGAAATCTCACACTAAAAATGGAGATAATGGTGGCAAACCAATGCAGCATGGATGGCTATTTGTATAACAAGCATGAGCGATACTAATTTCCCTCATTCCTAAATGTAGGAGTAAACTATTATTAAGAGTAATCTAGATTTTGCCAGAAACTAAATTTGCATATCATTTTGTATAGTAATATTTATAAGTATTTATATAATTGAACAAATTTCTTCTGTTATATTACAGAAGATAAGACATTCCATATAAAATAGGGTGGTTTTAAATAAATGATATTCTCAGTTCATAAATGTTTAAGCAAAACAAATCCTACTTGATTGATGAGTAATATTGTGGATGAGAAAAATGCATATAAGAAAATGANTCTAAAATTAGTTCCCTTTATTTAGCAAATATATACAACTCCTCTCACAGACAAATGCATAAACAAACATGCACACTTCTGAATTGCATTTCTCCTTGACATTTATAAATGCCATATTACAGAACAAAGTGAGCCAATCTATTTTCTAACCTTTTCACATCAGCTGATCTTTCTAGTTCCTTTGATTTATAAGCAGCTTTTTTAAGAATTTCTTTTGGCACATCTGCCAGTTTAGCAACATTTAGACCATAGCTTCTTGCAGCAACTTCTTTAGTTATTTGATAAAGGAAAGTAACACAGTCAAGATGATTTTGTTCTTCAAAATCTAAAAAGAAAAAAGAAACAATGAACTCTTTTAGTAAGTTTTTGAAGTTATTTTTAATCAGATACATGCAAATCCCAATTTTCTACCAATAGAACTCCAGAACATTCAATTTCTTCTCTGGACCATGTTGATTCAATTATTCTAGACATATTTGCAGTTTTATGGAACTTAATCTTCTAAACTGGAAGTGCTCTAAAGGGTTTTTAGGGGTTTATGACAAAACATATCTGGAATACTACAGAAACAAAATATATCTGGAATACTACTACATATCCCTTAAGAACAAAGGGTTCATTTCTGGAATAAGGACTAAGCCAAAGTATCACTCAGAGAAGCAACCAAATTCGGGGATTTTTCTGAATGTTCAGTTTCAGACATCCTTGTTACCACCAAAGACACCTAGTTCTCAGTAATTCTGTTGCTGAATATGTTTAGCTTTAATCATATTAATTGTTCTAACTCATACTAAGATGACTAAAATTAAGACATAAGACAACCAAACAGCTTTAAGGAATTACTGAAAAGAACTTATCAGTCTGATCAATTTGATAACATACCATCTTCTGGTTTACTATAATCTTCATTCACCAGAAAAGACATATGGTAGTTCTCAACATGGGTCGGATAAGCTCTTTCCAACTCACACAGTGGAGGATAATGGGTAACAAATAGTGTCAATGAACCAACCTAGAGGGGAAAATATATATTTAAGATTTGAAAGTATGTCATCAACTATCAGCAAGCTGATAACCTATCATTTTCCTGTAACTAAATCTGATGTTTTAGTTTTGTCCTACAGCATAAAATGCTCTTCAATGAACATCAATATTTAGAATTTTTATACATTGTAAAATGGGCCCCAAATTGATCCTTCATTTTGCAAGTTAATCCTGGGTTATACAGAGGACAAATTCCTTCATCTAATTTCAGTTATGTTAAGTACTCTTCACTTATAACTTAAATTCTGGCATTAACTAAGTCTTAAAGAAGCATGGCCCATTTGTACCAGCCATTCACTTTCATACACGTGGGTACATTTTTAAAGCTGGTATTGTTAGTATGAGCACTTTTGTGTTAAGTCTATAAATAGAATTTCAATATCATTATTAAATTGCAAGGTTCTGTTTCGATCTTAACATCTAAAAATCTTTCCAACTATTAGTGAAAAAGCAGCTGAAGTAAGAACATTGTAAAGGTAAGGCTATAATGGGCAAAGTTGGTAAATACTGATTTGATTGATTTGTAAATATGTATTATTATTGTTTTAATTAATAAATTTTGTAGTGATCTTATATTCAAACTATCAAAATTGTTGACATTGACTAAAATTTCAAATACTTCCTTTCAATAAGAACCTAAATGCTTGCTACATATATCTATTTCCATCACTTTTTCTTTAAAATTATAATTTACTAATTATACTTAATCAAATAATATACTTACATTCTTAATGAAATGTTCTAAAGTAGCATACGCAATTGCAATTCCATCATGTGTACTAGTTCCTCTTCCTAGTTCATCCAAAATTACTAGTGAATGTGAAGTTGCTTTTTGAATAATTGCTGCTGTATCTGTTAATTCTTCCATAAATGTACTGCGACCTTTAAATACATTGTCTGAGGCACCCATTCTGCATCCAAAAACAAATGGTCAAAGAAGTCTCAAAATAAAAATGGAAGGAGTGTCTTGAATTTTTGTACAACAGAGATGTCAGCAACTAATGTACTTCAAAAGTACCTGCTGTATTTACCTCTGGTACTAGAAGAAAAAGCTAGATCAGAACTGTCAAACTCCTGGCCTACGGACAAGATGTGTCACGTGCTGGCCATTCCCACGCCTGGTTTAGCAAAGGGGAGGAAAAGTCCCAATTGTCATGTGATGTCAACATGACATGAGTTTGACACTCCTAAGTTAGATCAGCATTTTATGAACTTAAAGGCTACAGGGACTAATGAAGTATCTACAGAAATATGCCAAGTTACCAGAAGAAGAAACAGTAAATTTCCCATCTAATCCATCTTGAGAACACCACAGTGGCTAACAGATAGGAGATCAATCCACGAACCAATGTCAAAGAAGACTTAATGTAATGTGTTGTTTATACATTTTCATTAATTTCATATACTATGAATATAATGCTTAAGATCTATTGATGCAGATCAGAACCCTACATTGAAAGAAAACTGCTAGATGTTCAAGCTAGTTTTGGAAAATGTTAAGATATATTGTTGCTAATAGATGCTAGACAATTGAGAAAGTGAAAAAAAATACCAAAAGGAAGACAATATATGCTTGATTGTCTAGGTCTTTGATTATATTGATCATATGAAGCTGTGAAATATGCTTAGGGAAATTGGAATTCCATAATATCTTGTTATCTTAATGAGAAACCTAGGACAGGAAGTCTGGACAGAGGATGTAGAAGAACAATAATTCCAGGTTGGCAAAGAAGTCAATCAAGAATATGTACTCTTCTCCTACTTATTCAACCTATTTGCTGCCTATATATTTAAGAAGCTGGATTGGAAGAAAATGCATGTGATTTTAAAACCAGAGGATGAAATTTCAATAACCTGGGCTGTCAATGACATTATTCTGATGGTTGAAAATGCAAATGAAAAGCTTCTTCAAGCTTCTGCAAGTTCTACTAATAAAAACCAAGGCGCCAAGGAGGAAAAAAGGGACTAAGATTAGACATTGAAAGACTAAACTGATGACAGATAGATCAAGATTTAGAATTAACAATCTAGACCCTGAACTGGTGGATAGCTTTGCCTTTGTGATGGAATGTAGTTTAGATTTCCAAGAAAAAGGGAGTGCATTCCAGAGAAGCAAAAACCATTCAGTTTAAATCAGGGGTCTTCAATCCCTGGGTTGCAGACCAGTACTGGTCTGTAGACCATTGGAAACCAGGCCATGTAAGCAACGTAAGCAATGTAAGAGTGTGAAGCTACATTTTGCCCATGCAAACCTTCCCCTCTCGCTGCCACCGCCACTGCTGCCAGTCTGTCGAGACAGAAATGTTGGAGACCGGTTTAGAGAGTTTGGGTAAAAGAAAGATGGTTCCTCCCTATTAGTTCCGAAAGTATATGCTTCATGTGGGTGATAGTTTGCTTAAGTTTGGCAAGATGTGGAACAATAAGAAATTTGCTTGGAAGAATCACAACATTCCTTTCCTGGTTTTTGGAACCCGATATCCTTTTAGGATCAACTAAGAGAAAAAGGGATATGGGGCTCACTGGCTAAGACACTGAGCTTGTTGATCAGAAAGGCATTTCTGTGGTTCAAATACCTCCGTGAGCTCCTGTTACTTGTTACTTGCTCCTGTTACTTGTCCCAGCTTCTGCCAATCTAGCAGTTCAAAAGCATATAAAAATGCAAGTAGAAAAATAGGAACCACCTACAGTGGGAAGGTAACAGCGTTCTGTGCACCTTTGGCATTCAGTCATGCCAGACACATGACCACGGAATTGTCTTCAGACAGCGCTGGCTCTTCAGCTTTGTAACGGACAAGAGCACTGCCCCTAGAGTCAGGAACAACTCCCACATATGTGCGAGGGGAACCTTTACCTTTACTTTAAGAGAACTAGCAATCAAAAAATATACTGGAGNGAACAAGGAATGGTTAAGATTAAAGGAAGAAAGCAAATACAGTATTATTTTGATGGAAATAATTGGTTTTTAGGAAGTCAATAAAAGGGCAAAATGAAGTACTCATGGAGATGGAATGGAATTAAAAATATGTAGGAGGAAAAATTAGTGAGGGCCAAGAAAAAAAACTCAGTTCCTACATATTTCATATTCCTGACTAGGGCAAAATAACTCAGCATTCTGGTCCTTATCCTTAGAGAAATAGCCAGCTCTTCATAGTTGGGGCTGACACAGATGTATAGAATGCTGAATTTCTGTATTCTTAGTGTCTGCTTATAAATTATGTCCTTTTTTTCCATTCCATTGATTAATCTACTCAAGCCAGGTCTTTTAAATTTCTATTGGCTGCTATTCAGAGAATGTGGGAACTCTGATATGAAGTCTCACATAGTTTTGAAGATGATTGGGTCTCTACTTTTCCCTTTTATGAATATTGGAACTATGCTCCCTTTTCTCCAATGTCCTGATATCTTATCAGTTCTCTATAAGTTTTCAAAGATTAGACTCAGTTGTTCTAGATCCCTTGTCAGCTCTTTCAACAATCGAGAATTAATTTGCATATCCCTGGAGTGGTGGTTTTCTTAAAACTTACATAAAAATTCTTCATAAAAATAATTTATATAATATGTGTGTATGTGCGTATTCACATGTATATATGTATATAACATACATATATAATTTTATTAAGATTTTTTATTATAATAGTAATATAATGTAAATTAAACTTTAAAAAAAGAGAATAGAGGCAGAAAGAGTTCCTCTCTTTTAACCATCTCACTAAAATTCTGACAATTCTATGTTACTAACATGTTTTCTATTACTACCACGCAATCTCTTTCTAGAATTAGTTTTTATGAAATAACATTTTTTCAGAGCTGATGAACACCACTAGTGAAAATATTCATGAATGCATTTAGGATGATTATGTGTAAAATGCAGATCTAACTCTAGCCAGATAAATGACAATCAAGGACTTTTGTTATGCATGAATAAAGTGCAATTTCAGCAACATGTGCCAAGAAAATGAGTAAGCCAATGAAAAAAGATGAATTATTAAATGCTTGCTTCACTTATGTATTGATTCAAATACAATAGAAGATATAACAGAATAGTAAGATGTGCTGATACTTAGATGGCTTTATGAGTTCTAATTAACTATAACTTAAATATAACTTTTACAGAGGGCCGTGTTTCTGACCACTTTGAAATGTAACACTGCACTTAAATAAACAATTTTGTAGCATTTTCTACAATAAAATAAATATTTATTTATTTTATTCTACAATAAAATAAATAAATAAATAATAAAACTTTATATATGAATCCTTACCCATTCAAGATCTGTAAAGAACCATTAGCATCTCTTGAGGAATGTATAAATAATTAGACCATAACAACCATAAATTTTCTAGGGAGTTGAATCCTGAGTCCTAAATGTTCTTCTGTTTTTTATATCAGTGGCCTTATACAACAAGGGATCTGATTGCATGTCTGTTTTTTTATCCAATTTATATCCACTACAAACAAAAAGACTCTTGGCAGGTCACCTTCCAGGACACTTCCATGTTCTTTTTATAAAAACAATCTTCTAATCATGCTTTCCTCTCCTAGTTTTGCATTCCTATACTGCTAGATTCATTCAGTCCTATAATGCAGTTATATTGTTTGAGCAATTTAATAAATTACCTAAAATAGAATTTCATTGTTCCCACATCATTTTTATTACAACAGATTACATGACTTTATTAAATTCCCTAAATACAGTACAACAGACCAGCCAAATGCATTTTGTGTTTTACACTGCTTCTGAAAGACAACGAAACACGGTACATAAAGCTTTTGCATAACTATGAAAATCTTTTCTGAACTAGTTCACATTAGTGAAACAATGCACCTGGGGTATTTTTAATATGGATCTTCAGATCTTTGTTCTAGAACAGCAACATCTGCCTATGCAACAGAGTCAAGCAGGATAGGCTCTCTCATCATTCAGTAATGCCAGTTGTAGGGTCACGGAAGCCGGCCTTCTTTTTTGCTCTCCCTCTTAAAACTTGCCCTGGACATTCATGTTGCCCCTTCCCCATTGGCATTCAGAAATCTATTGACGTGGATGCTCAAACAAGCCCAGAGGGATGGATGGCAGGTGAATAAGATGCTTATTCCTCAAAAATGGTTTTAACTGAGCGAGGGGTTGCAACTATTTCTAGGTTCTTATATTGTGAATGTATGATTTTGACTATATTTTATTTTGTATATCTCCAAATAACAAAGGGAGAATTGTTTGCTATTCAGAATGAATCTGATTAGAGCAACCCCAAAGCCTGATTAATTGATTAGATGGATCAGACAGATAGATAAAAATACAAAAATATAACATATTGTAAATAAGCATTCTGTGAAGAACAGTTTGAATACAGAGGTTTTTTTAATAACTTGTAGTGACAGCAAGACTACAACCATATTTTCGTCCAATGTATATTGGATTACCAGCCATGCTGGCTGGAGAATTCTGGGAGTTGGTCCACAAGCCTTAAAATTCCCAAGTTTGGACACCCCTGATTTAAAGGAACTGCATTTATTGGTGATTAAGTAATCTGTTTACAGAAGAGGTTCACCCATATGAAATTAAATTCAAAACTACGTATTATAAATTTTCATTATCTCTATTATGTTTTAGTATCATAGCTACCGCAGCTTTGCTTCTACATCAAAATATTTTATGATACTAATTGCTGATCTAAACTTCCTTACATTTCACTATAGAAAAATATTAAATCCTTGGTCTGGATAAACTCAGTCCAACACTGGATCAGCAACTGGTTCATTTCACATATACAACATATTGATATGTTGGCCTTTTTCCCTCTGTTAATAGCCCATTTACACATTTTCCTCAAATGTCTTTAAACTATTTTTCAAATTTTCAGCAAAATTACTACTGTATCTAGAAGAGGCTTTAGTCATAGATATTCCTCTTGGGAAAAGATGAGCCATCTAACATGGTTTCATAATGAAAAGCTGTTAGTAGAATGGTTCTGAACTACAATTATAGCACATTTAGCTGCAACCACAGTAATTCATCATAATGCTGGGAGAGGAAGCTGCATGAATACACACTGATTAGGGGGAAAATCAGCTTTTCTGATATATTACTGTAGATAAATTGCTGACACATCAGTATTTTACATAACATTCCATGTTTCAAGATTTAGCAATCAAATAGCGACCATGAGGAACTAAAGTCCTCCCTTCAGGGATCAGTTCATTCCAGTTTACATTCCATCAACCTGGAAGACATTAATGGAACTTTCTTTGAGGAAGCATAATGGCAATTTATTACAAAAATATTTTATGCAGTTATCTGACTGCTACAGCCAAACTCTGTTGAGTATAATATAAGCAATAAAAATAGTGAGAGTATCATTATATTTTTAAAGGAAGTTAAAAAAAAAACACACACACACAAACACACACTACACACACTACTGGACATTCTCTTTCTATTAAGAAAAACACTGAGCAACAAAGTTGGTTTGAATGCCAAGACTTTTTTCTCTAAGTTTGTATTATTCAATTCATCTAGTTTCTTTATATAATGGTACTCAAAAGTTAAATACATTTGGGCTGATCCACATCAGTGATTTGTTTGATAACAAATACCTGGATTTCAGGAGAGGCTGTGTGACCCACTTCTTTAGTTTTCGTCGTCCAAATGGAGTTTTTGTATGATCCAAGATAAAGAAAAGACTGCCTTTGGTTTTCATATCAGTCTAAAATAATTATAGGCATTAAATTAATAAATTGGAGGATAAGTTCAATATAAAATATGAATCCAATAGAAAGCAACTCAAATTGCTAATTCTAGAAGAGTGAATGCATTGTAGAAATATTTTAGACATACAGTACCAAATATACAATATCAAAAATCATACAGTCCAAGTTAAACATATACTTCCATTTTTTCTCCTTTTAGTTTCCTTAAAAATAGTTTACACTGGCAATACTAGTGATATTTTATATACTTAAAAGTATCAGCACTTAGTTCTGTTTCTGAGGTGAGGGGAGACTAGGAGTTATGTAATGAATCTTACAGGTCTAATTCAGTAATTCCATGGCACATCTCTATAGAATCATGATTTTTTCCAACTCTCTAGTCCAAGCCAACATAGACAGAGCTCCAAAGCCCAAGGAATGACGATACCACTGTTAAAATCAAAGCAGTGCTAGAAACCTCACTTTAGGAATTAATGTGCTCAGGACTTCAGAGTCAGTAATTGCTTCCAATCAATGCCAGCTGTGCTCAATGGAGGCCAGGCGTTTTAAATATATAAAAACTCTATCTAAATAAAGTAAAGCGTTGGAACATGTATGAATTCTGTCAGTCTCTGATAAACTACAGACTATAGAGCTCAAAGTGCTGAACCTTGATTCTGACACTCAAATTTAACTATTTTACTGCNAGCCCGAATGGGAAAGGAAGATGTTTGAGTGTTGGGCTAGTAACCTATCCCTGTAAAAATTATACCCACTACAGAAACAGCAAGAAAGATCTCAAGAAAATTTAGTCAACCAAGTAAGAGTTCTGTTTCGAGCCATATGGTTTATATGACAACACTGGAACAACTTGGGGACCATAATCTGCAGATAATATTGTCCTACTTGAAGAAGTTGAGCTGAAATTACAATGAGTGACGACTGACTTAGATGAAGCAGCAACCAAAATTGGCCTCAGGTTAAGTGCCAAGAAATCAAAGGTCATGTATCCACTGCATAGATATACAATGATTCACAGCAACTTGAGGAAGTAGAAATTGGGGTAGAATATCAGTCAAAATGGAGATGCAGAGATGGACATCAAGTGCTGCATTTTAAAAACAACAGATGTTTTCCAGAAATAAATAAAATCTTATCTTTATATCACTAAAACGTAAACTCCATTTGCTTGCTTCTATAATGATCCCAACAGCCATTTATGCCAGCGAGAAGGCATCAGCAAGTATTAACAAGATACTTTATATCTTCCAACAAGGATGTCTTTGCCAAATCCTAAAGATTCACTGTTTTGACCATGTTATTAATGAAGAAGTATTCCAAAAGAGTTTCTCCCGCAAACTACATAACATTGTCACATGCAGAAGATACAATTTGCAGGTCATATTTTCTGCATGGAGACCAATCAAATTCCCAAGATGGCAAAGAGATGGACACCCCAGATCCCCAGATCAAGAGGATGCCCCAAAAATAAATGGCAAAGAACATTCATAGAAGACTTAAAGACTCTAAACATCAGCTGGGAAGATGCTGAAGTAGTCACCAAAGACTGAAAATGCTAGAGATCCTTTGCTGCCCGATATCCTACATACCGTGTTTCCCCGAAAATATGACATGTCCTAAAATAAGGCCAGGCCACTTTTTTCTGGTGGGCAAAAATGTAAGCTCCCCCCAAAATAAGCCCCCTGAACAACCTCCCCCCTCCAACCAGGCAGAGTGCCGCTCACCAACCTAGCGGTATCCCAAAAGCACCAAGCTGGAGGAAAGGCGTGGGGGGGGGCAAACACTCGCGTTGCTTGGCACCTTTGGGATACCGCTAGGTCAGTGGATGGCACTGTGCCCAGCTGGAGAGGCGGGTTGCCAGGCGGCTGCTCTCTTGCGAGCGGGGTGCCGAAGAGCCGGGCACAGCCTCAGGGTCAAACAGCTGTGTTATGCTGTGACAAGCAGCTGCCCGGAAACCCCCCTTTCCAGCCGGGTACAGACTTGCGTTGCTTGGCACCTTTGGGATACCGCTAGGTCAGTGAATGGCACTGTGCCCAGCTGGAGAGGCGGGTTGCCGGGCAGCTGCTCTCTTGCGAACAGGCTGTCAAAGAGCCAAGCAGAGCTTCAGGGTCGAACGGCTGTATTGCGCTGTCGCAGCAGCGCAACACAGCAGCCATGAGATGACCACACTCACGAGCAGCCATCTGGCAACCCCGCTTTTTAGCTGGGCACAGCCACTGTTCCCTCTAAGGTGCACGGCTGCGCGGCCGCGCACGTGGAAAGAAACCCCGCACAGCAGTTTCTAACTGCCGCGCAGAGATTTCTGTAAAGTAAACNTAGATAAGTTAACTGAGCTAATTTATTTCATATGGGATTGAAGACAACTGATTTCTAATCAATTTTCTTCATGCTAGGCCAAAGACGGTGTGAATCTAAAATCAGAAATCAAGAATTAAAAGGCAAAGCTAGTAAACTTACAACTGAAGAGTAAAGGAAGAAGACTGCCCTGAGGACGTCTTAAGATTCTTCCAGAACTTAGAAATGTCTGGTTCACCAAAGGTATATTAACAGGAAGTCCTTTAATAATCAATAGTTTTTCCTGTTCTTGGGACTTTGGAAAATTGTCTAAATCAGGAGCTTTCATTCAGCTAAATTTGAAAATCTGAAATAATTAGAAGAAATTAAGTCTTTTTCATAGCTGCCTTAAGAAGAAACAACAAAAGAAAGATGAATTTAAGGTATTGCCAGCACATATGTCACTTGAATTCTGTACCATTAGAAGCAACAGATTCATCTGGCTATTTTTCAAAACTTATTTAAGTCTGTAGATCTTTTGTTTTCCTACCAAACTGTTTATTACAATCTGCACAGTAAAATATCTTGTGCTTTTATTTCACTTCAGCAGATTGGCTGAACATTTATCCTATCACCTACTTAGTAATATTATTTTTAAGGTATCAATTTAGTGATACTTTTATTCCTCTATTATAATGTTGCTTTTGTTGTTGCTACTTCTTAATATGCTTTTTATCGTTGCTTTTTTCTGACATACTATTGGATTGAGAATGAAGATTTTAAATTGGGCATATGAGTGCCTTTGAGTCATTCTTGACTACTGCCAACTAAACAGTCAAGTTCAAGCAGTTTTCTAGGCTGCGTTTTCAGAAATGATTTGTTAGTAACATTGTTGTCATGAATCTGTAACAATAATTTACAGATTGCACTGAAGAAGATATTGATATAGGTATATAGGTATACATTGTGTAGAACTAAATTGAATTGCTGATACCATTAGCTGGAAACATAGCTTTAAATTTTTTCTACTTCTCTAATATAGTTTTCATGATAACTTGGATATCACAATTATAGTGCACTTATTTTGTGAAACAATATTTCCTGTAGTATGTAAATCAATGTAACAACGGTTTTAGTATCTAAAATTAAAACTATTTACCTGGGGTTATAGAGTATCTTCTCTAAATTAAATTCTTTAAGGTACAAGATTACAGCAGCCAAGGAGCACAACACCGATTTATCGAACTTTAAAATCTGGGACAATGCTTGAGAACCTGGAAAAAGTAGCAGCTTGTAGTTCTCCAAAGTGGCATCTTAATAATTCCCGTCACAGAATTATTTTCTGGACTACCAAAGAGCTATGTTCCTACAAATTTACCTTTTCTTGGATTTTTATTGAACTCATTTATTTACTCACCATAAAATACTAAAAAAATAATTTATGTCAAATTGACTACTTAAAAACATTTCTTAAAAAAACAAACAGGACTTTGTTAAGAAACAAACAAGGATCAACATACTGTTCAAATTAATAGTGTAAAGTTGAATTTTTGAACTAACTTTATATTTTGGTTTAAGGCATTGCTAACTTAGAATTCGTTTTTACCAGCTCAAAAGAATAGGAATTTTTTCTGCTACTAAAAAACACTGTTGTATGAAAAATAAATAATATGTAAGTACATATATTCATCTTAAAATATGACTTCATAAATATAAACAAATATTTTGTAAATTATGTCAAACTAACATGACACAAAGAAGTTTTATAAAATAATCAAATCACCACACAATTGCTAATCAAATAAATCTTTTCGGATTAGGTACCTGTGCCATCAAGTATTTGACTGCTATAGAAATCTGTAATCATCTTAAAAGCACTTCCATACTCAAAATGTTCATTTTTCATTCTTTCAATTCGTATTCTGTCATCTTGTAAACTGTAAAAAATAGACATTTTTAACTTTACCATGCTATTTATTACATACAGCTGAACAATAGCAAAAGCTCTCATACTTTATTTCAGCATTCACACAAATGACTATTTTTCCAAATGAAACTTTTAAAATCAAGTTGGTTTGAAAGGTGACCTTTCCTTAATGCATTTTGAAAGGATTCACTTTGTACAAATTCAATTCGAGGAAGATTTAGAGTTCTGAATTTGGACTTTAAATGTTACTCTCTTTTCTCTAGGTAAGTCCTGCAATATTTACATTTCTAACAAAATGACAGTAATTGTCATTGTCACTGAAGCATTTGAATATATTTTCCAAAGCCTTCATAGCTGTTCTACCAAGTGCCAGTCTCCAGCAAGTTATTGACTGTATTCCTTTACCGTTCATGGTAGCTTCTAAAAAGCAGAAGCTATCCTCCACTTCAATATCTTGTCAATTCTAAGGCTGGTTGTTCTATCTGCTGTTATTAGTTTGTCTCCTTTATCTCCTTTATACAGGTAGTCCTCGATTTACAACAGTTCATTTAATGACAGTTCAAAATTATGATACATTGAAAAAAGTGACTCATTATAGTTTTTCATACTTACAACCACTGCAACATCCCAATACT